ATATAGACCACTTTGGGAACCACCGCATTGTAGCCATTTAATTGTTTATAACACATTCATTAGGATCATAGAATGAAAAGCGCATATATTTGCAATATTTAAAAAAAAATCAAACCTATGATAAGGTTTTATTCCTCTCTATAATCTACTATACATGTTCCCATCATAAATATGTTACTAAACGCGGTTATTTTACTAAAAAAAAATAGTCTATTATAAAATCGTAGTATAATCACTTGTATATTACTAAAGGCATCAAAACCATTTTTTTTCAATACAAAAATCTTTGTAACAAAATCTTATGATTTCGGTTATTAATTGTAGCGTTAATTGAGAATAAAATTATTCTCAATCAATGATTGTAGCCATACTTTAATTGTTTGCACTTATATGTAGATATTTTCATATTAAATGTATTTTAAATCACTTTTAAAATTTTATTATAATATTTAGCAAAACAAAGAGGAGTAGTAAAAATTTTAGTTTGCTCCATAAATACGAGTACTAAAAATATGCGTAAATCAAACTTATATAAAATCTTTGTGTATAATTTTTAAATCAACCAACGCTTTCTTGTTACATTCAATATCAGGTTTACTCATAAAAGAGTTTTAGTTTAAAAAATCTACATCTTATTTATAATTATTTTTGTATACATAACTATATATTCATTGAAAATTGTAAATTAATATTATGAATGAATATGAAAACTCTTAAAAATCGAGAAAAAAGAAATAAATCACAAAAGTAATGTAACAAATATTGAAAATTTTTAAATTATTGTTAATTTTCGTTTGCATGTTTGGATTTTGATTTAAATTTTAATTTTTTTTAATTTAAAAATTTGCAATTCAAGCAGAATATTCAAATGTACATATGTATGTATGTATTTTTATAATTTATGAAATTTTTGGTTTTTATTAAAAAATCAAAATATTTAATGATTTTATTTATTTATTTTATAATAAAAAATTTGTATTAAAAAATTTAGGCAGAAAAGCCACTATTTTTCGCTAGTAGATGTCTTAATAATCAATATTTATTGAATGAGTTTCTCATTTGAGCCGCTAAGGGCATAAGTGGCCTACTTGCAAAATCGTGATTGAAATATTAAATATTTAATTTTTAAGAAATTTTTTTAAAAGCAAAAGCAAACTTATGTTAAAATAGAGTGAAAAAACGACTAAACTAACTATTTTGAAAATATAGAACAATTCTTTAGGCTACTACAGTTCTATTGAACATAATAACTTATTTTTGAAAAAATGTTGTATAGGCCACTAATTCGCTGAACGCTGCATATTGCAGTTTTCAATTAAACTATGCGTCATATTACGGAAGTTCAAAAACGCACAGAGGCGCATCAGTTCAGCATGCGCATCGCATTAGTTTCAAATTAAAATATTTTTCGATGCATCAAGTCAATAAAGTTCAGATTTTTTTTTGCATCAAACCTTCATCTGATGTCGCAAATTGAAGCAAACTACGCTTCAAGAAAAATGGTGATTTTTTCTAGCATCAGTTTAGGTCCTGTCAAAATTTTATCAAACTTTTGCATACGTACGTACGTATATAATTATTTGTCAGTTTGTAGCTTTTGTTTCTTTCCTTTGTGTTTATTTTTCTTTTTGTATTAGCTTAAAAAGTTTTATAATTATTGAAAAAAGATTAATTAAACAATATTTCTTTATAACTTATGGTTTATAAATTTTATTTATTAAGCCATGATAAATTATTGAAAAAAATTCTGTTTTTTTTAAATGTTTGTTTTGTTAAAAAATATTGAAAAAAATTTGCTTTTTTAAATATTTTATGTCCATTTTTATTCAAAATATTTATTTAGAATTTGAAAAACAAGATCTTTGCAGTCAAAATTGCAAAAAAAGTCAATCATATGTATCAGCACCAAAATGTGCATTAGGAAGGATTCATAGTGTTGCAGCGACGTGCTATCAGTGTCGCATCGATGCAAAAAATTTTACGTTTTTGAATTTCGCTAATATTGATTTAAATTGTAGCATGTAAATTACTTTTACGTCAAAATTTATTCTCTGACGTCAAACATTTATTTTAATTTAAAATAAAAATTAAATTTATGAAAAAATAAATTAATAAAAAAAAATAAATTATTTTATAAATTTAGGAGGTGAATAAGTACAAGCGGTAAAATTAAAAAATTTAATTCAAATTAAAGTTTTCATTAAGAAAATTGTGGAATTAATTTTATTCTAACTGCGGTAATTAATTAATTACTTTAATTATATCGAAATTAATTAAAACAATAATAAGGAAGGAAACGGTATAATTTATCCATTTTTTGTATAGACATACTTTTGATTAGCAACAATATTTTGGTTTAGAGGAAAAAAAAGTATATTTTTTAAAAAACTTACTTATAAGTCATTATAAAAAAAAGTTCATTTATAATACATTTTATTAAGCTATTGGAATGAGAAAAAAACAAAAAGTCGTTGCTTCCATTTTTGGAACAGTCAGGGCTTTTTTTTTTATTTTCGACTTTACTCACAAATAAGTAAAAAAATATACAAAAGAAAAAGCGCAAATTAAGAAGAATTTCGACGCCAACGTTAAAATTAATTTCTACGCTGTTTTCTAAATATTTATTTTTTTTTATTATGGAAACTTCAAAAGCTGGAATAAGTTTGAATTAAAAATTATTAAAATAAAACAGTAATTTTGTTATACATACATACATATATGAATACATTTTATATATATTGTTTGATATGTCGATATTATACGGTATGAGATAAATTATGATTAAAAAACTAAATACCAATTTTGAATGTATGGATTTTGTGTAGAACAATCATCATCTAAATTTTTAATTCCATTATATTAACCTTTTATATATATGTATGTATTACGTTTATGTATTACAATTTAAAAATCATTTCTTACTTAAAATTCAAACACATTTATTGATCATCATTTTATTTTTCGCCTCCTTCATTTTAAAAAATGGTCAAATTGTACTTTTATGGTATTTATGGTTATTAACAATTTTAAAGCGAAGATGATACATAATATTTAATTATAAATGTAAGTTTGTGTATAGCACAATTGCTCTTCTTTCTTGTGTTTTGTAACACAAAAAATGTCACGTATGAAATATAATGTAGTTTAAAAAAAATACATATTTTATTTTTTTAAGTGAGGCTTTCAATTTCAACTGTAAAATAACAAAGAAAATTAGTGATAAACTTTAATTTCAAGAGGATTCGTTCAGTGTTTATTTGAAAATTATAAAAATTTATAATGCAAAATCATCATGTGTAAACACATAAATATTAATTGTACAAAAAGACAGTCAAAAATGCTTTGTCTTGAAAGTTTTGTCCATTAAACCATTGATATGTGTTTAACTGTTATTCAACTTGAAGTAATGATGCCAAAAGGTTCGAACTCTTTCTTAATAATTAGCATACATGCTACATATAAAATACGAATGCTGATTTGAGGTAACAGGAAATGATTGCAGAATTGTAATATAGGGTTTGTATGCAGGTAATAAATGTGTATGAAATTTCGAACATAGAAATATTTGACGATTGTTTCACAATGGCTTCAAAAATGTTATTTGTATATTTAATGAAGATGAAATGAAATATTAGAATGCAATTAATAATAACTTTTTCGTTATAGTTTTAATTAATGAATTTGCCGCAGCTGCGAATTTTAGCAAATTCTTTCGAACTACATATAATATGTACATTCCTTAAAGTAAGAGATATTCCTAAACACACGCAGCATTCGACAAGCGTTATCAAAAAAATTGGTTCATGTACCCACTTATATAATTTATAAAAGTAATTCCGAAATTCACGTGGTCAGTCGCATTGGGTTCGAAATTTAAGAGAAAAAATAAAAATTTTGAACTAATTCTATAAGTAAAAAATTTTAGTAAAATATTTTCATAATTTTAGTCATTCTTTTTAAGTCAAACGTCGCCACAGAACAGAGAAAGTTACCGTCAAAAGATTTCCTTCAAATTTATTAAATATAAATGTGATTTTCAAAGATCAGACATATCCACATACATACAAATGTTACAAATCAAGTTTTTGATATCTAAAATTTACGAATATTTATGTTCAAATACTTGAAATTTCATTCTTTTCCGAATTTATTTTTTATGCTACCTTTGAGCTCTTAATAAAAAATTGAGCTCCTAATAAAAAATACTGTTCTCTATTTTTAATCCACTTTATTTTAATATAGTTCTATGGCAACACTATTTTGAAATTAATTGAATTTTAAAATGTCATTTTTAAAAAGCAGAGAGAATTTTTCTCTAAACTATACGTATAAATTTTGTAGCAAAATTTTTCTATCAAAAATTGAAGAAAAAAAATTAAAAATTAACTTATGTTGCATTGCAAGAGAATAAAATTTGTATCGAAATAAACACAAACAGCAACAGTATTGTTGCATAGAATAAATAAAATATATATATGTATACACATTATCACAAGATTTTTGTGAGTTTCACTATAAATTTACACACACACATACTAAATTTTTATGTTACATATTATTTGATTTTATTTGTCATGCTCTTGCTCATCATGTTTAAAAAAAATTCTTTATAATTTTCTCTGTGTATGTCATTTTTTGTTACATTGACATAATATCTATTAAACATATTATATTGTATTGTATTCAAATCAAAAAGTCATTTTAAATTCAATATATATGGCAAGACGGACGATGAGTTTAATATATATTTATTTCTTTCTAACCCATTATAATCAAAGCATACGTTTGTATTTACCTCATATATCTGTATGTATATTGACAATTGGACAAAACAGTAACAGAAACTAAAATAGCGATCGTGTAATTTTTATTTTTAAGGCTATATTGAAAATTATACACTCTCCATTAAAGAATATTGTACCTTTTTTTGCTGTGTGTATTTTTCAAAGTAGAAATTTTTTTTTTGGTTTGAAATTTTTTTAGTATGTTTCTAGCTGGCAGTCTATTCGTGAGTTGTCGCGTTTGTATATTATATATTTTTTTTTTGTAATATAGAGCGGCGAGAAATATTTTTTTAGTTAAATTACTGCATATCTAAATATAATTTTCAAATTAAAATTAAATAAATATTAAAATAAAAAAAAAAAGGAGAAATAATTATTAATTATTGTATATATGAATTTATTGAAAAGTATAAATTATTTTTGAAATAATTTTATAAAAGCTATACAATTATTTTAAATAAATTTTTTGTGAAAATTCTCTTTTAAACCCGTTTTTACTTTTTTTTCTCTACAAACATATACACATACATTCATATGTGTGTACCAATTTATTGTTTTTTTTTTGTATGCTTATGACGATTAGGTATTGCGTGTATATTTTGACATTCAAGTAAAAGATTCCAATAAGAATTAACCTCAAAAAAGGAAAAAAAATTAGAAATTGATCATATTGGATTGGAAATATCACCAAGTAGAATAAAAGAAAAAAAGCAACTGTAATTTTTTTTTTGTGGACTAGAAAACAAGTGAATGAATTGTGAAAATATGGTGTACACTTGAGATTTTTATAAAAGAGGGAAAAGTACTTCAAATTCAAAAATTTTTCTAAATACAATCGAAATTAGGAATTTTACATTAGTTTTTTTTTTTTTTGCTTTGAAATTTCTGAAAAAAAAATCTTTAAAATTATATTTTTTTATTTCTTGCAGTTCTTACAGATTTTTATTACATTTAGTAAACGATATTAGTTTTATTTTTTGAATTCTATTTCTAAATATCAAAAATATTTTATTTTGGAAGAAGAAAAATCAAAAATTATTAAAGAATTTTTTAAAAGTGATCAGTTAAGTGCAATAAAATTTTCATAAAAATATTTTCTTCCGTGTATTTTAATATATATTGTATATAATATTAAAAAAAAAAAAGAGTTTAATTGCAATATTTGAAAAAAGAAGAAAAAAAAATTGTAAATTTTTGGAAAATTATTAAAATATTTTGGACATAAAACATACCCACAACACACATAAAATATCAAAAATGAGTAATACTAGTGAAAATAATAATCAAAATACCCAAAGTATAGCAGATTATTTGGCTCAATTATTAAAGGACAGGAAGCAATTAGCAGCATTTCCAAATGTTTTTAATCATGTTGAAAGACTATTGGATGAAGGTTTGTAAAAATTCTATTTTAAGAATTGAAAATTTTTTAAATAAATTTCTCTTGAAAATATGGCATTAACTTAAAAAATGGAATTTTTATTCATAACTTCAATAATTTAAGATGTTCATATTATTAATTTTAAGTTTATATTAAAATTAAATGTATTATTTCTAATTAAGTAGATATTAATAAATTAAATAATTTATTTTGTGAAAATTTCTCCGAATAGCTCTCTACTTTTACTTTGTTTATATTTTTTTGAAACAAATTAAATTAAATTATTTGTCAAATACGAGAAAAAGAGAAAGATAATAAATGACAGTAAATTTTAGAAGTTTATTTCAGCAGTACTACAGCATCTTGAATGATTACAGATTTATTAAAATGGTGTTTACACAGGCTATTAAATGAGACTTAAAATTTTTTAGTTTTTGTGTATTTAAGATTAAAATGAAATATTTATTTTTTTTTTTTTCGAAAATTTCAAAGTATGCGTTTATTTAAATTAAATTTAAAACTGTTTATTTCCATCGTATTTATAGGGAGCATTCTAGTAACGTTCAAATTTTAAGTAGATATTTGAATAATTAAGAGAATAATTACTTTTAGAAACTTTAAAAATTGTAGAAATTTGGTTTTATTAAATGGGTATTTTAGTAAAATAAGTAAATTAAAAATGATTAAAAGAGCTAACATTAAAAATTTTTACTATTTGTAAAAATCGTATACTTGTACAATATAAAAATCATATGATGAGAGAAACATGGCTCTTTAAATCACAAAGTTTTTTTGATTTTATTACATTTTCTTTACGATCCAATCGCAAATTCGTACTGAGAAATCGGGAATTTTATGGAAAAATAAAGTTTTTGCAATAAGTATAGCTGCATATCTATAATTCAACATACATAGATAAATGTATGAAAAGCAAACCTATGGTATTTTTTGCAACTTTGAAATAAATATTTTAAATGAGAAAATTTTCATATTTTAAAGTCAATATAGGTACGAGGGTCACTATTTATATTTCCAATGATAAATGTTTGTTTTTTATTGCTAGACCCGAAATATAAATAGTGACCCTCGTACCTTTTATCTGATATTTGAAACATTTAATTAATTTTAAAACCTCTACAATTAAAATCTTAAAATTTAATTTTAAATAAAAAATGTTATTAAAATTTAATATGTAGGTATCTAGTTACAAAATAATATGTAAATTTTTATGACCATTAAAAATTTAAACATGTCTTACTTACTTTACCTTATAATATATCACCTACGCTTTTAAGAAATCATAAAATGAATAATTTTGAATTTATAATTTTAAAAAAAAAAAAAAAAACTGTATAAATATGTAGGTAGTTAGTCATAGATTGATTTTACAGTAAAAATACTATATTTAATGCTAACTACATTATTTATTAATTTTTGTGATTATTGATTAAATGCACATTTGTTTCTATAAATTAAACTGAAGTATTTGGTATTTACATAAATTTGAATAAAGTTTGCTAGGACATAAAGTAAAATTATGAATATGACTTTAAAATTTTAAACTTTCAAATTGTAAATGGACCCCGTTAATGTATTTGTGTAACTATGCCCAATTTCGTTTTTTGACAATTGGTTATAACATAACTACTTAATTTTTTCTATAAATTATTAAAAGACTTAAATCTGTAACTCAAGTTTTACAGTATATATATAAGCATCTGAGAATCTTATTTGTTTTCAGTTTGATGAGAATTTAAGAGAAATAATGTTACATAAAACGTTGTCATATAATAAATATGACAATTTTGAACTTTTTAGTTGATATCATCCATTAAGGGTATTTTCGATAATTTTACTTAATATTTACGTATCACTGAATTAACTAAATCGTTAGCCAAAGCCATAAGAAAATTGACAACTGAGGAAAATGTCCGAAGAATATATGTACTACATTAAAACTTCATAGCTGCGGTTTTTAAATACACAGTAAGACCATCATAAATCAGTAAAATGAAAAATCATATATGAAAAGTTTTTATTACAAATTTTAAAAGATATTATTAGTTTTCCTCAATCCCCGGTTAGAAATCAGATTTAGGAATAATCAGAAAAAGTAGGGGGTGTAAATATCGAAAATTATGAAGAGTTTTCTTTTGCGCACAAAGAAATATAAAATTTTATTGAATATACATTATTATGTATATGTATGTATATAATGTGAATAACTTTAGATATACGAGTACGTACATTTATTGTATTTTAAACAAAGTGTTCCTTTTTCTTCAATTAAAAGACGTTTTAGTTTTGTAGTTTTCTTGTTATTTTCAAGTGGTTTTAATGCAAATTATTTTGCGCATGCATAAAACTTTGTTATTTTTCCGATAACAATTGCACATGCAAGTCCTTATTCATATTATGATCTAAACATAAATACTGTATACATACATTATGTATGTGACTACTTGTACTATGCCTCCATATACATATATGATGCATTCAAATATTTCTTTAAGTAAATAAATACATATATGTGGATGTATACATTATGTGTATGCCGTACATGTGTGTGCACATGTGATTTAAATAATTGAGTTGAATAAAATTATAAATTTTATTTAATTTTGAAATTAAAAAATTTTCGTAATTTTTGTATTTAGATTTTTAATGAAAATTAAAAAAAAAAATGTATGTATGTATATTTTTGCATGATGATCGTTGATGGCGGTTGTTTTTCTTGTTGGTTTGTTCAAAAATGAAATTTTTATTATTCAGCTTTTTCTCTTTTTTGATTTTTTTTTTAATAATCATCTCAATTTCATTTATATTCAAAGCGCATGCGTTCACTGATATTCTGTGACTATTTGATGTCGTCGCGTCAAATTTAGTTCATATTTTTTTTTTTATTATGTTACTATTATTTTTATTGTTGTTATTATTATTCAGATTTTTATTATTATTATCATAATTATATTTATGAACATAAGTATGTATAATTTTTTTTTTCATTATTTTGGAATAGATAATGCAGAGCAAAAATAAAAAAAAACATGCATGCATACATGAAAAGTCATTCATACCGGTATTAATGCACATACACAATGAAACACAAGAATGAAATGAACACTAGATATATGTTGTTTTTATTTATACTCATTATTGTTAATTTATTAATTAAATTTATATTATAAGTTGTATGTAATTGTATTCAGTAAGTAAATACTTTATTTAAATAAATAATATAAAAATTTTGTATTTAAAATATATTTTATATTTTTCTAAAATGCAAATGTAGGCTGAAAAGACAAAGGAGATTTTAGTTACATTCATACACATACATATTATGTATATATGTATAATTAATATATATTATAACATATTTATAGGCATTTATTCGTTAATATTTAAGTAAGTTAGTGTGTAAGTATAGAAGTTATTTATTTCACTAAAATATTTAAATATTAAAACTTAAAAGTAAATGAAATTATTAAAAATATGAAATATTTTAGGAAAAAAATAATATCATCGTTTGTGTTCAATTATAGGAGATGCGTTTTCATAAAATACACGAATAACTTGTACTAATGTTACAAAATTACTTAATTCGATTTAAAGTGTACATATATATTGTAAATAATAATTTCATAAAATACAAAAAATTTTTATATTTCGAAATAAATGCATTACTGCAATTAAGAAATTTAGAAAAATATATAGGGAAAAAGAGAATTTCCGTATAATATGCTCTTGGTGTGGAATTGCAACTAACATTATAAATAATTTTGCTTATATTGCTATTCTTACTGCTATTCTCTCTTCAAGAGGGTGATATTAATGAGTAATGTCACGGTAATTGCACATTTATAAAATATTTTACACGTTGAACCCTTTTACAGTATTTTTTCTAATAACAAGCCAATAATCTGATAATTGATGAAAGTAATTTGACAAATAGTATATTTAGTATAAATATAAGCAATCCACTTAAAGAGTAATTTTCATCCGTCACAAAGAGAGTAATTTGCAAATTTGTGTTGTGGCATAACAATAGCGGTATATCGTAGAATTGTCGCTTGTCAATATTGGCGAAGAGAATGACATTTTTATGCGAATTTTATGATTTTATGATCTACTTTTAAGCGAATATCTGTCGAATGAAATTTCTTTATGACAAACTTGGCGCCAGGTGAATGAAATGATTTGCAATCTTAGTTTAAAATTTGGCTTCGGTTATCATAATAAATTCCTAAATTCTAATTATTTCATATACAACTACTTAATTTAATTTTTAAACTAAAAATTTTTAGAAAATCACTACATTTTTACGATATATTCAAAATATATATACTAATTTATTAACTATTAAGTATTGTATTATAAAAAAATTGTATTTATAAAATGTAGTACATATCTAAGAAAAATACTTAAATATACTTGAATATGTAAATTCAAATACGAGTAAAGAATATATTATTGAAAAATCATAGTTAATTTTATTTTATTTGGTATTTCTTTAAATATGGATTTATATTACATATTTATATTATTTAGATATTGACAGATAGATATTATACAGTCGGGCGACTTTTATAATCACTTTAAGAATTTCTGTGATTTTCGTTCCTGCTAATCTATTATTATTACAATCGCCTTTAATTGGACTCCAAATTATTATTATCGTATAAGTAAATGAATGTAAATTATGACAAATGTACCTAATGTCAAAATTATATTTAGGTTAATTTAATAAAATTATTTGAATTGTTTAAATGCCATTTACTTATTCTATATATTAAGAATTTATCAAGTTAATAATGATCAATTTCCTTTTTCTAATAAAAGAGTTTTTCTGTATTTTGTGCGATAGTTAATTCCAAATAGGTCTAACTGTATTTACTTTATATTCTTACCTAGATACAATAAAGCATTTACACTTTTTCTGTTTGCTTGTTTTTTTGCGGTTAACTTACTTTTATAGAATTTGATTTTCATAAATAATTTTTGATATTGAATTG